TCAGAGTCCGAATCACGGAAGGGGGCGGCCATCGGCGCGGCAGGGGGTGGTGGTGTGTGGCAGGGTGTACATGTGTGTGTGTGTGTGTGTGTGTGTGTGTGTGGATGTCTGTCATGCCTGGCTAAATTTACACAATTAAATGCGTGAAATTCGTTTGAATAATTGACCAATTTTTCGGTTACTGCGTGGCAAAGGGGTGGTGGGGGGAGCAACACGAGAGGGTGCGAAGCAAAAATTTGTTTTAAAGGTTTACAAGGTTCCGCCATTAAGGAGCGGCGAGATAAAGTCGCCTTAAAGCCAAGTCGAGGATGCGACAGCGGGCCAGAACAGAAAAAAAAACGCCATGAGTTGGCCAACTTTATGGCCAATGGTCGAGAGTCGTGAGCCGAGAGCCGAGAGTCGAGAGAAAGCCGCAGCTAATTTATTTCCAGGCCGGGCCATTTATGCGACACAGCAGCAGGCAAGCGGGCAAGCAGGACACGGGTGGAGTCTGGGGCAGAAGTCTGGGGGCAGGACCAAGCACTTCATTGTGCAGTGGCTCGTTTAAAACGCTGATTCAGTTTCATCATTAACCAGATTAATATGGCATGGCCGGGCCCCTGACAGGGCTCGCCTGTAGCCCGAAACCCGAGCACCCCTTTCGGGTAATGGTAATCGATGCGGATGCGGATGTGGATGTGGATGTGGATGCGGAGGGTCATGCCATGGCATGTTCTAGTCATTGCCCTGCGAAACGAGATGGCCATGTGGTCGTCCATTGCAGGGGCACTTGAAGTTTATCGCTTTGCAGTTTACCGAGCACCACGCGGCGTATGCGCAATATTCGAGGCAATGAATTTTTATGCGCCCCCAGTGCGCCCCGGCTCAAGGGGTGGTGGTGAGGGGGTCTCTGGGTTTTCGGCTAATTTGTCCAACGCATTGGCCTGCCTAATTGGCCATAGAAATATGCGAGGGGGGGGCGCAGCACAGGGCGGAGATTAGCATTCCATCGCTTCTTTAGGGCCACAACAATCAAAGGGGGAGGGGGGCGGCACTGACAAGTGGCGGATTATGGGGCATCTGCCTCCCGAAGAATCCCCCCACCTGCCACCCACCTTCCCTCCGCACTGATTGCAATTGCAGGATATTTCCGGCTCCCCCTCGCTCCCCCGCGCGCCACGGCCCAAGCCCACAGTTTATTTAGTATCTCTGGCAGCAGCAGCAGCAGCCGCGTGGAATTGTGATAATATTTGCCAGGAAAAGTATTTACATTTGACTCAAAAGTTGGTAGCTTCCACCAAGGGGGGCGCCGCGCGGCAGCAGTTCGGGCTTCAACGCAATCACAGTTTTCGACATTTTACGAAATTGTATCGGCGTCGAAGTTTTCTTTGCCGCTTATTTGTTTGTTGTTCTTCCCGGTTCGTATTCGTTTCTCCTTTCTCCTTTCTTTACTTTTTTTTTTTTTTGGTTTTTTTTCTTGTAAGAGAGCCTTACGCGAAATAAGAAAAGTTTTTGGCTTTTATTTAAACAAATTTCTGGCGCAGACATGCGTGGCAATTCTTTTCAAGTTTTTTCCGGCAGTTGGAAATACTTCAAATGTTGCAATTCGGATTTGAAAGAGAGCTGGTCGAGAGGGAGATACGTTATCCCAGCGATGCGGCAGGAGGCCATCCCCCAACGCCCCCTCAAGTGGTCTAATAGGCCTGAGAGCAGCGGCGGCTCCAACTCGTTAGTCTGGAAAAATATTATCTAATAAGCAGGCCAGACGGCAGGACGACAGGACGGCGGGACGGCAGGCCACAAAGGTCTCAACGAGGACGAGGCCGGGAGACATTCTCCGGGCAGACAGAGGGCCACCAATTAAATTTCACCCGCATCAATAATCATGAAAGCAAGAATTGCCGAAAGCCTAGCAAAAAATGTCTCTCTCTCTCTCTCTGGCTGGATGTACGCGGGAGTATATCCTGCACAAATGCCACATAAAACGAAAGCGCCAAATTAAATGGCAACACGAGGGGGGTGTTGAGGAGGAGGGTGAACGTATAGCCCCTTGTCCGCGGCAGACTTGGAGTCGACAAGCGTGTAAATGATATAAATTCAATTTAATAAAATTGTTAAAATCGCAACGACGAACGGAACGAGCTGTGGAAATGCTTTGCGCGCAGGTGAGCTGAAAATTGCTGTGAAATTTTTAGTGCCCAGGCAGGGTTCCGTCCTCCGCCCTCCGTCCTCCGTCCTTCCTGCTTCCTGCTGGTCGGGGATGGAGGAAGTCACTCCCAGGACGAGGACGACGACGACGACTACAGCGGAAGGCAAAGGCGGAAATACGCGTGAAAATTCCTAGCAATTATTTCACACAAAGTGGAAGAAGTGAGAGTCCTAGATGGAGTCAGAGTCGGAGTCAGCGTCAGAGTCGTTGCTTGTAGCATGTCCTGTCGCCTCATCGTCTGGCTGGTCCTGCTCCTTCATTGTGTTGTCAGTGCTGCCTTCGGTGGTGGGGGGGGGCTGGTGAAGGGGGCGACCCAGACGGAAGCTCTCGACCAATATAGCTTTGATAGCATTTTAAGCGGCTTGCGTGGGTTTCATTCTCCCGCCTTAATGTCACGATAATCGCATAATTTTCAATCCCCCTGGACACTGGCGCAAAGAGTTTCCATCCGGCAGCCTATTACGCCCCCCCATACCCGGACGGACAGGACAGTCTGCCTTCCGCCTTCCGCCTTATGGCATATTATTTTTTGTCGAAATTGTCTTATTAAATTGTTTTTGAAAAGCCCGCACGTGACTTTGCCTTTAATTTCCGCTGCGCAGCGACGGATCCCCGGGGCTCATCTGTTGCTCATCGATGGGGAAACCGAATACTCGATTCGTATCTGGAATATATTGTATTCCACAGATAATTAACCTCCGTTGAGTAGTCTCCACTCAAATCTCTCTACAGTGCCATCCAGATCCAGATCCAGATCCACATCCACTCCACTATCCAGCGCAATTAGTTGGCCTGCACTCCACTTATCACGCCACAGCCATATGCCATTCGTCCTCCGACGGAAGGACGGGAGGATGGGAGGATGGGAGGGGCCCTCCCCGACCCCGCCACAGCCACAGCCCGACCGCCCTTTGGGCTGCGGTTGTCTTCATGTCTAATTTAGCGACATTTTATTGTACTTTTCACCACAATCGCTTTCCATTGTTGTAATACAATTTTCTTGTCGCATTTTAGCCAAGTTATTCCTATTCTATGGCATTTTATTTTAGTTCATTTCATTTCGGTTCATTGTTGCCCCCCCATCGCCCATCCCCCAGCCCCCCCACTCTGCCGCCCTTTGTTGGGCTTAATGTTGGCCGCAAAATGTTGTTTTTCTTTGCTCCGGGGGCCCTCGTGCCGGTCTGGGCTTGTCCGCCTAAAAGCATGTTACATATTCCGAAATGTTTTGTGTCGCTTGCACATTTTCACAAATTTTCGGGTGGGCGTGGCCCTGCAGCGCCCTCTAACCCGGCCCGCCCATAACTCAGCCGCAATAGCGAACTGTGACTGCGGCTTTGTCTGCACTTCTTCTCCACGAGGCGAGCGATGAGGTCGGTCCTTGGGTCCTTGAGTCCGTCCGTCCGTCCGTCCGCCCGTCCGTCTGTCTGTCCGCTCAAGATAGTGCAAGAGTTATTGGCAAGCCATGTGGAGTACGAGTGTCCTTTGAAGGAGTCGTGCGAGTGTGCGCCGCATATGTTTTATTAAAATGCGCTCACATTTCGCTTTCAATTTGCAGACAATTTTCGACTCCTTTGCATACATTTTGAAGGAAACTCACTGACATGCAACATGCCCCGTGCCCCGTGCCCCGTGCTCCGTGCTCCGTGCCCCGTACTTTTGCTTTACTTTGGCATAGAGTTTCATTGGGTTCTTTGGGGAATGTTTTGTGGGCCGCACAATCATTAAAAATGGCAAAGTCTTGGTCTGTGCCCAAGCAATTGTCACAAATCTGGCGACTACTCGTACATTTGGCAGGGCAGGGCAGGGCGGGGCGGGGCAGGGCAGGGACCATTCTTCAATGGTAATTACAACTTTTTCTGGCAATTAACGCAGAAAAGAGCTCTGAAAAGAGTTCGAAAACTATGTAAAATAAATTACAATGATGCCTCAAGGAGGCAGAGTTCATTAATATTTATAACACAGCAGCAGCACATTCGGATCCATACAAAGGCCTCTCCCATGTGTGTGTGTGTGTGTCTGTGGGGGAGGGAGGGAGGATTGGTTGGAATGAAGAACAAAGCAACCAAATTAATTTAACGCCAACGAGGCCGCAGCCCACCAACAAAAAAAAAGAGAAAGAAAGCAACGAAAGCCTCTGCTCAGCGAAAGAAATCAACTGGGGGCCAGAGATAAAGAAGTGAAATGGAAAAAAACACTAGAGTATCCTTTTTTCACCCGCTAGACGAAAGGGGGGGGGGGCAGGCTAGTGTGCACCCTGCCACACTTGATTGATTTCATTCTATATACGAAGCGATTTTCCAATTACAAAAGCGCTAAAATCAGCACAAAACCAAAGGCCATCGAACAGTGGGACAAAAGCGGCATTAATGCCATAAAAAAGGGCTCATTTTAGACGAATACTAGACTGATTCCCAAGGAAATAAAATCAAGCCTTAACCAAAAGAAAAAGCACAAGAAAATTATCGATAAAACAATGATTTCGTTTCTTCAGATTTGAGACAAAAGACAGCTACAATAAAATGGGGTTAAATACTGATATAAATATATATTTATATATTAAATACTAAATAATTGAAAATATATTAATTCCCCGCGATATTCCGGTTCTGCAGCCGCTTCATCACTCAATAAAAGAATCCCCTTTATGTAAACCAAAATAACAAATTATACACGATACTTTTCAATACATCGCAAGAAAAATCGATACATTGAACAAATATCGAGTAGTCTAGCATCGAGCATCGATACAGTATCGACATTTCACCCAAGCTGCCCATCACTAGTTCCCAGCCTGTCACTGGAAAAAAAAAAAAAAAAAAACACGAAAAAGCAAAAAGGTTTTTCAAGTTTGATAAATTGAGATGTCGGTAAGGTTTAGTGTTGAATTGTGTGTTGTATAAAATAAGTGCACTTCCCACCCGATCTACAGAACAACGAAGCTACCAAAATGCGTACCATTAAACTGCAGTCCTCGAACGGGGAAGACTTCGACGTCGACGTCAGGTTCCTGAAGTGCTCGGGAATCATGAAAGGCTTACTCGAGGATGGCGACAAGGAGGATAAGAAGAAGGAACCTCTTGTTCTGCCGAATGTGAATTCAGACATTTTGCGCTTGGTCCTGATCTGGGCCGAGTACCACAAGGACGACCCCGAGCCGCCTGAAGATGAGGCTTCCTTTGAGCGGTCCACCGACGACATCATTCCCTGGGACATCGAGTTCCTCAAGGTGGACCAGGGCACTATCTACGAGCTAATGCTGGCCGCCAATTATATGGACATAAAGGGTTTGTTGCAACTGATTGCCAAGCACCTGGCCAACATGATCAAGGGCAAGACTCCCGAGCAGATACGTCAGACCTTCCACATCCCTCACTCCCAGGCGCCCAAGAAGTAGTGCGCCGCAACAGGGTCGGTGGACACTTCTAGAATAGTTTAATCCATCCGCACACACACACAATAAAGACATGCGATTGCGATTGTGAATATTTGTTGATAAAAGACAGCCACAAAAAATGGGGCTTAAGGACTGAAATTAACATATATAAATATAATAATTATTAAATAATTGAAAATATATTATTTCCCCGCGATATTCCTGTTCTAAAACCGCATCATCACTCAATAAAAGAATCCCCTTTATGTAAACCAAAATAACAAATTATACACGATACTTTTCAATACATCGCAAGAAAAATCGATACATTGAACAAATATCGAGTAGTCTAGCATCGAGCATCGATACAGTATCGACATTTCACCCAAGCTGCCCATCACTAGTTCCCAGCCTGTCACTGGAAAAAAAAAAAAAAAAAAAAAACACGAAAAAGCAAAAACGTTTTTCAAATTTGATAAATTGTGATGTCGGTAAGGTTTAGTGTTTGATTTTGTGTTTTATAAAATAAGTGCACTTCCCACCCGATCTACAGAACAACGAAGCTACCAAAATGCGTACCATTAAACTGCAGTCCTCGAACGGGGAAGACTTCGACGTCGACGTCAGGTTCCTGAAGTGCTCGGGAATCATGAAAGGCTTACTCGAGGATGGCGACAAGGAGGATAAGAAGAAGGAACCTCTTGTTCTGCCGAATGTGAATTCAGACATTTTGCGCTTGGTCCTGATCTGGGCCGAGTACCACAAGGACGACCCCGAGCCGCCTGAAGATGAGGCTGCCAATGGGCGGTCCACCGATGACATCATTCCCTGGGACATCGAGTTCCTCAAGATGGAGCAACGCCTTGTCATCGAGCTAATGATGGCCGCCGATTACATGGACATCAAGGGTTTGTTGCAACTGATTGCCAAGCACCTGGCCAACATGATCGAGGGCAAGACTCCCCAGCAGATACGTCAGATCTTCCACATCCCTCGCTCCGAGATACCGAAGGGGCCCATGAAGTAGTGCGCCGCAAGAGGGCCGGTGGAATCTTCTAGAATAGTTTAATCCATCCGCACACACACATACAATAAAGACATGCGATTGCGATTGCGAATGCGAATGCGAATGCGAAGAAAGCGTCTCTCTGGCTATCGGCCCACTGTGCCGGACTATCGTTGGTGGAGACTCGAGCGCCGGGCCGTGCCGTGCCGTGCCGTGCCGGGCCGTGCCGCACGGGAGCCTAATGCGCCAGGGAATTAGTTTTCTGTATCCCAGGCGGGCGAGTACGTAATGCCATGATTTTAACTTTTCTTTCGCTACTTTGCCGAAACTGTAAAGCGGCATTAAAATGGCAATTACCGTTTGCGGGTGGGCGTGGGGTGGGGCCCGGGCCTAAGACGGACGCTTGGGTCAAGGCTGTACGAGGAGTATTAATGAATTAACATGGCCAAATGGGTTCGGACAGCAATACAAATGGTACTGCTCGCGGCTGGCTGCCTCCCTAGTGCTTTATGAGCAAAGTTTTGCAATAAAACCCCCCAGCCCCCGCCCAAAAGAAGCTCCACGTGTTCGGCATGGCGAGTGCGCTGGCAATTAGTCCCGGGGAAAGGATTGTGGATTGTGGATTGTGGATTGGAGACTGGAGACTGGAGACTGGGGGGCGGGCTTCCGGGCTGCATCTCCATTGTGCTTTCTACGTTTCAAATGCATCCACGCAATTTGGGGAATCAAAGGGCCGTTAAATTGTACTACAGCGCATAACAAATTGGTTTTTTCGCCGGCAACATGTGCCCCAGACACTCGCAGACAAGCAAGCCTTTCGTTTCGCCACGCCTCGCCACGCCTCAGCCCTGCGCCACCCACCCGTGCCCCCCAATGAAGGCCGCAGAATTCGGTTCTGGAAACTGTCAAGCCAGCCGCGACAAACGCTGTTGTTCCCCCCTCCTTCCGAGTGTCCTCCTCCTACTGGGAGCACATCGTTAATGTCATTGCTATTCTTGTGGAGCGTTGGAGCAGGAGCAGGAGCAGGCGTTGGAGCTGGAGCTGAAGCTGGTTGGCAGTGTCTGCCTGATATATTGTTATCATTTTAACAATGGAAATTATTTCATTACATTGTTTTCCGCGCCCCTTTATTATGTTAGACATTTCCCCCGCTCAGCCAGGCGTCAGGCGGTGCTTCGGGGGGAGGGGCATGCCCCAAGCGCTGATAGTTGTGCGGGCGCTGGCGGGGAGGGGGGTGTTAGCCGCGTCTGCTTCTGTGGATTATCCATTTCTGTATCATTTGACGCCTATTAAAAACTTTCACTGACTAAACAAAATGCACAACCGAAATCGTTTCCTTTCCATTCGTTTCATTCGTTTCATTCGTTTCCTTTCCTTTCGTTCCGTTTCTTTTTCTTCAAATTTAATAAATCCTCGTGAACACGCTTTGAAGTTTTCATTTTGCAAACTTTGCTGGAAAATTGAAGGGAAACCAGTCGTTGATGAAGCGACTATGAGATACCGAAGGATGTACATTGGCGGAAGGCAGAAAGACATGGCTTTGCTCTCCTCTCCACAGTCAAATATACCCATTGCCCCACTACGATTAGTGGGTATCGAGAGGGAAATCCATGAAACAGAGCGATAAACAGATACAAGGTAAGGCCTCCTCCCTCCATCCGGGGGGACGGTTGGATGCTTACTTGTGGATTCGCATTTATTTCATTTGCATTTGCATTTAAAATGAAATGAAAATCCAGACCAGCATTAAAATATACACAGGCTGATCCGATCCGAACCAATATATTTATTTGGACATCATTAAAAGTGCCACATTTGAATGGAGATGGGAAGACAGGGGCTTGGGGCTTGGGGCATGGGGCATGGCGGCTGGGGCATGGGGCATGACGAAGACGCTGCGAGGATGACAGAGTCTCTTTTGGAGGGTTTTTGCTTGATATGCATAAATGTCAAAGTGATTACAATGCAGGGCCCGCAATGTGTTTATCGTTTTGCCACATGCTTCACTGCCCCCTGAGCGACGTCCTCCCCCTGAGGAGTGGCAAAAATGGGGGGAAAAAAAAAGGGACAGCTCCAGGAGTGTGACAACGCCCTACCCACATCCATTCAGTCGTTCATTCAGTCATTCATTCGCTCACTCGTTGCTTACACGCCCATCGAGCACGAGGACGGGGCACAGTGGGGCAGCCACCGCAAAAGAGCAGCGCCCCGTGCCGGCCGGACGGCTGGCAGCGTCTCCGGGGGCACCGTGCCACAGTGGGCCCCGGATTCGTCTTGATGTACGCAGGTGCGCTTATTGACGCTCGACTGCATTTCGTTTGAGGACAAGCCGAAAATCTGAGGCAGCCAGATCAAAGCCAGAGGACAATCTCCTTGTCCTTGTCATTCGTCTGCCCCTGGCACCCGCCACCACCCCCGCCCCCCACTTAGTGGCAAGCTGTCTTCGCCATCGCCCTTTGCATAGATAGAACTTGTGGAGGGCCCTCTCCGAAAGCCGAAAGCCGAAACAGAATGAAAAGGCAACGTTTTAATATTTTCGGGGCACTCGAAAATCCTTTCCGAGCACATTTCATGGTCGCAGAACAATTTCCGGTCCGCTCCGCTCCGGTCACAGTTGGGCGACAAGTATCCCTCCTTGGAGTCCTTGTTCGTTGGTGATTTGCAAGTTTTACGGTGAACTGAGGCGAATGGCTCTGCCAGCGGCTCCAAGGATTCAATAAAGCCTTAAATACATGCTCCAGAGTGCGGCTAAGAGCGTGCAACGACAGCTGCCACACCGGCACCGGCAGCACCACTCGAAAACAAAACCAGTTGGCAGCTCCATTTCCATAGACACACCGACAGAGAGAGAGAAAGAGAGAGAGACAGAGAGAGAGACACCGAAGAGGCGTCTGCCAAAACACTTTGAACTTTTTAAATTTTTAATGAATCAAAAATGTTTTCACACTTTTTCGCACACTCCTCCCTGCCTCCCTGCCTCCCTGCCTGGTGCCCCACCTATGCGCTGCATGTGTGCTGTCTGCAACATGTTTCTGTTGTCGATTTCCATTTCCAGCGGGAGCCAAAGGAAGCGCCAAAACAAAAACAACAAAAAAGACAGTTCATCAGTGGATGGTTGGATGGATGGATGGATGGATGGATGGATGGATGGATGGATGGGTTAGCGTCGACGTCGACGTCGACGTTGGCCTCCACACTCTCGCCCTGCAATCCACAGAAATGTAATTGAACTTAATTCGATTTGGAGCGAGACAAGTTTTTTGACAGCTGCTCAAGTTCCCAAAAGCTCCCAGGGGACAGTGCAACTCCTTTAAAGGCTTACCACCCAAAGGCTTTAAATGGCCCATCGGGCGGGCATGGCTCCTCTTTGTTTCAAATGCCTTTAAAGGCGGGCATTTCGAAATGAAACTCATTTCAGTGACGGCGATTCGACGTCTCGGCGATTACATCTTTGCCTCAATCCAATCACTCAGATTATTATAGACTTATGGACCACCTACCATCTACCATCTACCATGTACCGCCTCTCGGCAGCCTCTGTGCCACCTACACCTTCCTGTAAGTGGCAGTCCGGTTCGGTCCGGTCCGGTCCGGTCTGGTCCACTGATGGTGGTCAATTTTTTCGCATATGTTGCCATGAAGTGAACCCTCAAGTGCAGCAACTTGAGCTCCACACAGAGCAACAACAACAACAACAACTATAACAATACAAAATACAACAATTTTCCATTTGCCATGAAAGGGCGGACGGGCACTCGGGCAAAAATAAAAATAAAATCATCCAAACTGCACCCCAAGGCAGGGCTCGGACTTGGATGGCTGCGTCCTAACAAGCAGTTCATTTTTCTGCCAGTCAGCCACACACAATTGCCTCAAGAGGCATGAGGCAGGGGAGCAGGGAGCAAGAGGCAGGGAGCATGGGAGCAGGGAGCAAGGAGCAGGGACCGGCCCGTGGCCCATGGAGTGGGAGCATAAATATTTTCTATGGCATACAGGGAATATGATTTGATTTTACAATTACACGAATTTGATTGCATCTGCGGGGGCCGGGGCCGGGGCAGGGCTCCCGAGAAGAGAGTTAGCTCCAAATTTTAATTGGTATTGGGCCCTGCCGTAATGGCCCTGCGAATCTCTCGCTGTGTGG